GCAGGGCGGCGGAGGCTCTCCGCACGGGCATGGCGGCTCGATGTATACACCGCGTCGTTGGGTCGGCCGGGGAGCCGAGGAAATCGGCGAAGGAGGTCGGTGCACGGGCGCGCCCCAGCCTCCCACAGGCTGGGCAGGGCGGCTGAGATGCCGGCCCTCCGCAAGTGCACCCGCTGCTCGGCGAAGGGAGCACGGCAGAAACAGAGGGTGGGGGCGTTCGTTGTGGAATGTGCCCAGTCTGCTGCAGACCCTGGAGGATTCGTTATACTTGATGAGGGCGGCGGTGACATCCATGGCCGATCCACGACTGGAGTTCCACCGGCTTCCAGACCCTAGATTCGCCGTACACTTGCGGAGATCCGCGCGGATTTCTTGGGTCGGCGCTGGCCGGCCCCCCCGGGCGGCGCCTCCAGCGCGACCCCTGGCGCGCTCCGCGCGGCAGGGAGGGGGGCCCAGCGCCAATCCAAGAAGTCCTCGCGGCTGTCCGAGCTTCTGCTCACGCAGTTGTGTTAGGACTCTAGGCGTGCCCTCAGTGCTGGCGATTCTCCTCCGGCCGCCGCCGTCTGCGGGAGGGGCTACGGCGAGAGGTGCGGCCGCTGGTCAAGGAAGGACAGGAGCACATGGTCTTCAATGGTCCGGCCGGGAGCGCATGGTCTTCAGGGGCCCGGCCATTTCCGAGGTCGCCCTGTGGCCCATTCGGCTCGCCGCCAGGAAGAGCAGGTCGTCGGACGTCGGAAGCACACCGCGGGCGCCCCATATCCTCGGGTGTCGCATCTGCTTTCGTGACGTCGACCCCAGGGCCGCCACCCGAGGCCCTCGACCTTCTCCCCAGGACAGTTGTTCCCAACCATCCTGTGGTGTGGGGTCCGCGTTTTGAAGAGACAGCGCCCCGCGTCTCCTCTCCCCTCCTCTCCTCCTCCCCTTCCTCCTCCTCCTCCTCCTCCTCCTTCTCCTCCTCATCCTCCTCCTCCTCCTCCTCCTCCGTTGCTCCTCCATTCCTCCTCCATTCCTTTTCTGTGTGGATAAATCTCCCCTGTCGCACCCCGACGCCCGTCGAAAGGCTGGGCCGGGCGTTTCGCCTGAGACTTCCTCACCGCCGATGACCCTGATGCTTCACAAACGACAGCAGTTCCTCAAATGGAGGGCGGGTGGTTTTCAGAAAGCGGCTCTCGCCCTAGCGCCGCGCACAGTCGTTTAGAAAATCTGCAGGAGCTTCACGGATTGCGGGCGGGTCGTTTTCAGCATGCGGTTTTCACCTCGGTGCCGCGCACATTCGTCTTAAACACGTAGAGCTGCACGGATCGAGGGCGGGTCGCCCCGGGTGGGGCGCAGCCTCGGGCGAGGACACACAGTTCTCAGCTGATGAGCCCCCCCACCCCAATGCTCCTCTCTCTCTCTATCCCTCTGCTCTACCCTCTAAGAGGCGGTGAACCTCCTCCTCCTCCTCCTCCTCCTCCTCCTCCTCCTCCTCAGGAAGCAGAGAGGGAGGAGGGGCGGGAGGGGGAAGAGGAAGGAGGAGAGGAGGAGGGGGTGAGGAGGAAGGAGAGGAGGAGGAGGAGGAGGAGGAGGAGGAGGAGGAGAGAAGGAGGAAGGAGGAGGAGGAGGGAGGAGAAGAGGAGGACGAGGAGGAGGAGGAGGAGGAAGGCGACGAGGAGGAGGAGGAGGGAGGGAGGAGGAGGAGGAGGAGCCCGAGAATGCGGGGGGGGCCGGCCGCCCCTCCGGGGCCGCGGCGGCGGGGGGGTGGCCCGCGCGCGGGCCGGCTCCCAGGCCGAGCCCCCGGGGTTGGGGCTGCACGCGCCCTCGGACGCCGAGGCCCCGCGGAGGGCGGGGGGCGGGAGCGGCGGCTGCTCCTCGGGCCTCCTGCCAGAGGAGGGAGGAAGGGATGCGAATGCGGGTGGGTCGGGGGGAGGAAGGGAGGAGGGGGGGGGTGCGGGGATGCGGGTGGGGGTGGGGGGGGGCAGGGAGGACAGGGAGGGCAGGGGGGGGGAGGGAGGGGAGGGGGGGGTAGGAGGAAGCGGGAGGAGAGGAGGAGGAGGAGGAGGAGGAGGAGGTGGTGGTGGTGGTGGTGTGGTGGAGGGGGAGGGGGAGCAGGTAGAAGAGAAGGAGGGTCATGAGGAGGAGGAGAAGGAGGAGAAAGAGGAGATAGGAGGGAGGAGGGAGAAGGTGGGCGGAGGAGAGGGAGGGGACAGGAGGCGGAGGATGAAACCGAGAAGGAGCTCACTCCTCATACATCCTCCACGCTCATTATCCCCGTCCTCTTCCTCCTCTTCGTCACCCTTCTCCGCCTCCTCTCCTCATCATCATCATCATCATCATCATCATCATCATCATCAGCATCATCAGCATCATCATCATCATCATCATCAGCATCAAGAGCATAATCAGAATGCATAATCATCATCGTCATCAGCATCGTCATCACTATCATCAGCGTCACCATCATTATCATCATCTGCAGCAGCATCATCATCAGCATCATCATAATCATCAGCATCATCATCGTATGCCGCAGCATCATCAGCATCAGCATCATCACCATCTCCATGACCATCGTCATACTCATTATTCTCCTCATCATCAGCATCAGCATCAGCATCACCCATCGCCATCATCCACCATCACCATCACCGTCATCATCATCATCATCATCAGCAGCAGCATCATCATCGTCGTCATCATCACCCGCATCATCATAATCATCAGCAGCGAAATCATCATCCATGATCGCCACCATCATCAGCAGCATCATCATCCTCCCTCATCGTCCACCATACCTTACTATCTCTCCGAGCTTCAGGTAGGGGGCATTACCGTATCATGTCGCATTAGTTATCCCAGTGGCCGATGCTTGTTCACTCTTTGCTTGGGCTGGGGTGTTCAGGAGCCGATGCGCGTGACAGCCGTTTTTGTCAACCGCGTTGCCCATTCTCCCTCCTCTTTGTCATCTTGAACCCGTTCCTCCTCAGCTTCTCGCTGGTGCTGTTTTACGTCTGGTCCTGGCCAGGGTGCAAAGCAGCTGAGGCGCGTGCCAGCCATACTAGGCAGCCGCGCTGCATTATCTTTGTCCTCCTCGTCCTCATCCTCCTGTGCTGTGCCTACCCAGCCGTAGGAAAGATGTCTTTTAAACGTGACCTGGCCTTCGGTGCGTGGCGGCATGCAAGTGTTGACGCTGGCGCTTGAAGCATGTTGTCCGTTCCCATCTTCTCCTTTCTCCCCCGAAGAAAAACATCTCTCCGACCTCCGTGTTGGGGAATACGTGTCGTGTTTCGGTTTCCCGTTCCTATGCATGGCGGTTCTTCCCTGCTACTCCTTGTGATTGGGGCGATGATATTTGTAGTGCCCTCCCCCTTCAGTTTTTCAGTTTTGGGGGCCTCCTGTGACCTGGCTCTCGATTCCCTCCATGCTGCGCTTCAATCCTTCCGCAAGTCGACCACCTGCATTTCAGAATTCGGCGGCGCGCCGAAGGAGGGGTGAGCGGGGTCAGGCCTTCTCAGTAGGTTCCGGGGCTTCTCGGAAGCCATCTGGTCTTCTGAGAAGCTTTCTGCTGTTCTTGAGGGGGCTTAACAAGCTTCTCACAAGGCGAAGGGCCGTCTGAGCCTTCTGAGAAGGCACGCCCCCTCTGCCTTCCCCTGGGCGTGCCGCCGAAACTCGCCCACCTGCACTTCGGAATATTTTACGTAGCACCCCGCAGATACGGATAAGAGTGAGGGGGCGGTGGGGACGTCGTCAGTCTGCGAGACTCTGGAGAAGCCCGCGAATTATACAACGAGCCTGCCGCAGGAGCCGATTCTTTCGTTAAACCAATGTGGGTAGGTCGCGGGTGGGTCGCAAATGGGTCGCGGGTGGGTCGTTGTTGCATCGTGGATGGGTCGCGGGTGGGTCGCGGGTGGTTCGCGGGGTGGGTCGCGGGTGTGTTGCGGGGTGGGTCGCGGGGTGGGTCGCGGGTGGTTCGCGGGGTGGGTCGCGGGTGGGGTCGCGGGGTGGGTCGCGGGGTGGGTCGCGGGCTGGGTCAGGGGGTGAGTCGCGGGTGGGTCGCGAGGGAAGTCGCGGGCGGGTCGTGGGGTGGGTTGCGGGTGGGACGACGACACAACAACAACAACAACAACAACAACAACAACAACAACAACAACAACAACAACAACAACAACAACAACAACAACAACAACAACAACAACCACAACAACCACAACAAAAACAAAAACAAAAACAACAACAACAACAACAACAACAACAACAACAACAACAACAACAACAGCAGCAGCAGCAGCAGCAACAACAACAACAGCAACAACAACAGCAACAGCAACAACAACAACAGCGCAACAACGTAACAACGCAACAAGCAGAATCCTCACCACGGATCCCCGCTTCAGCCACGCACCCAGGGACAATGAATGACCGTTCGGCCCCCTCACTCTGGCACAGGTGATGCGAAGCAGGCGCGGAGCCCCCCAAGTTGCAAGGCTTGCCTCGCTCGGTCCGCGAGAAGGACGCTGCAGGGCGAGTGCCATTGTCCATCCCTCCTCCTCCCTCTGCCCCTTCCTCTGTGCTAACACAATGCTCAATCAATCAATCAATCCTCCTCTTTCGCTCCCTCCTCCTTCTGTCCCTCCGTCCTCCGCCTCCTCTTCCGCCTCCTCCTCCTCCCCGATAGCGGGAGGATGTAGTACTGCATCGTTGATGCATGTTGAGTTTACTTTGGTCCTCCTCCTCCTCCTCCTCTCCTCCTCCTCTTCCTCCTCCTCCTCCTAGTCCTCCTCCTCCTCCTCCTCCCCCTCCTCCTCCTCCTCTTTCTCCTCGATCTTCCTCGAGCCTCCTGCTCCTTCTCCTCCTAGTCCTCCTCCTCCTCCTCCTTCTCCTCTTCCTCCTCCTCCTCCTCCTGTTCCGGCTTCCCCCTCCCCCCTCCCACGGAGGTCCTCGCGATGACCGGCGGCGGCGCCGCCGCCCCCCAAGAGGAGGCCGCTGCCGCCCACCAGGAGGCCGCCGCTTACCCCGAGGAGGTTGCCGTCGTCACTCAGGAGGCCGCCGTGGCCCCCCAAGAGGCCGCCGCCGCCGCCGCCTCCCAGGAGGCGGCGCCGCGCCGCGCTGCGCGCGCGGGAGGGAAGGAGGCCTCCTCCTCCTCCTCCTCCTGCTGCTGATCAGCGCTATCATCAGCATCAGCACCAGCACCATCATCATCGTCGTCATCATCATTATCATCGTCATCAGCATCATCATCACCATCATCAACAACAGCATCCTCGTCCTCATCCTTGTTCTAATCCTCCTCCTCCTCCATCTCAGCGTCAACAGTCACATAATCTTCATCATCAGCATCATGACCATCACCATCACCAGCATTACATCTGAGAAAGACTCAATGAGTGGATGGTTTCAAATGGGATCGATGAAGAGATCGATGAGGAGATCGACCGGGAACCTGGGAACCCTGGAACCCCGAACCCCCCGAAATCGGCCTGGAACCAATAACCAGGAAACCGGGAACCCGGAACCAGGAACCCCGGAACCCAGCCAGCCACTAAAATCGGCGGGAAACGTTCGCCAAATCTTTCAATATCCGCTAGGATCCCTTCAGTGCAAGCATTGATTGGAGAACAAGCACGATCATTATCAGCAGCAGCATCCATCACCATCATCAGCATCATCAGCAGCACCAGCATCACACTTGTCGCCATCATCATCATCATCATCATCATCATCAGCAGCAGCAGCAGCATCATCAGCAGCATCATCATCAGTAGTATCAACATCGTCATCACCATCATCACCACCACCGTCGTCATCACCTGTACCAGTATACTAATTATTCACCATCATCAGCATCAACATCATCGTCATCATCATCGTCAACATCGTCGTCATCGTCGCCATCGTCATCGTCATCATCATCGTCATCGGCATCGTCGTCGTCAGCAGCATCATCATCATCCTAATCACCATCATCCTAGACATGGTTATCGTGTTCCTCCCCGTCCTCGCTCCTCTTTCACCTCTTCCTCATCATCCTCATCCTCCTTCTTCTCCCCGTCTTCCTCCTCCTCTTCGGGGATCGTCGGGGATCCAAGGTCGTTGGAGTTGATTCATGTTCCGTGGAGGGCCTCCAGGCGTCCATGGGCGCTTCTGGGGACACCGGATACATATGTGGACCTCCAGAGACTTGGGAGGGGGAGGAGGAGGAGGAGGAGGAGGAGGAGGAGGAGGAGGAGGAGGAGGAGGAGGAGCAGGAGGAGCAGGAGGAGCAGGAGCAGGAGCAGGAGGAGCAGGAGGAGGAGAAGAGGAGGAGGAGGAGGACCAGTGCAAACCCAAGACTCATCAACCATGTTCCAATAAACCCAAGGGTTCTTTTTCACTGAGGGAAGTGCCCCGTTGGAAGACAACCATGTGAAAATCCTGATCCGTGCAAGAACACCATTCCTGGGACAGCGTCGCCGCGAATCAGTATTATTGTTGCGTCCTGGTGATCCTGAATCGTGCCAGAACGCTGTTCCTGAGATTCCACCATCGCGAATCAACGTAGCTGGCGTGCCATGACAGTCCTAACATGATGCCCAAACACCAGTTCTGGGGCGTCAACGTCAAGAAGTATTGAAACTGCTGTAAGCTCTTAAGACGAATGTGCGCAGCGCTGCTGCCAGAGCCACAGTTTGAAAAGGTACCGCCCTGCATCCATGAAGCTCTGGCAAGCTTTGAAGACGAATGTGCGCGGCGCGATGGCGAGAGCCACACTTTGGAAAGGTACGGTCCTCCATCCGTGAAGCTCCCGCAAGCTTTGAAGGCGAATGTGCGCGGACGCAAGGCGGGAGACACGTTTTGAAAATTGCCCGCCCATCATGCAGCATCAACATCATCGTCCTGCAGTTCCTCCTCCTCACTTTCATCATTTGCATCAGTTACATCATCATCACTACCATCATCATCATCAGCATCCTCACCACCGTCGTCAACATCTTCTGCATCATCACCATCATCAGCATTGTCATCATGAGCAGCAGCAACACCACCACCATCATAATCCTAAGCATGATCATGATCATCATCATCATCACCAGCAGCAGCATCAGCATAATCCATATCAGCATCAGCATAATCATCATCAGCAGCAGCATCGGCATCGTCACCGCCATCGTCGTCATCATTATCACTATCGGCATCCGCATCAGCATTACCATCATCGTCATAATCAGCATCACAAGCATCGTCGTCATCATAATCAGCAGCATCAGTATCAGCATGTTCATCATCATCAGCATCATCAGCATCATCATCAGGGTCATCATAATCATCACCATCATCAGCATCATCATCATCACCGTCATCATATGGATCACAATCCGAATCATCATTATCATGCTCCTCTCCCTTCTCGCTCCTCTTTCTCCTCCTCCTCCTCCTCCTCCTTCCGCTCCTGCTCCTCCTCCTCCATCGCCTCGTCTTTTTCCTCCTCCTCCTAATCCTCCTCCTCCTCCTTCTTCTCGGGTCAAGGATCTTGTAAGTTGTTTTCCGAAGAGGGCCTCCAGGGGCCAACGTACGTTTCCGGGGATTGCAGGATGCACATAGGGTTTCCCGGAGGCTTGGGGGAGGAGTAGGAGGAGGAGGAGGAGGAGGAGGAGGAGGACCAGTGCAAGCCCAAGACTCACCAACCATGTTGCAATAAACGTTCCTTCCAAGTTCCCTCTGCACCAGTCCCTACAAGAGTTCTTTCTCACTGAAGAAAGTGCCCCGTTGGAAGACAACCGTGTGAAAATCCTGAACCGTGCCAGAGCACCATTCCTGGGACTGCAGATCCGCGAAACAATGTCACTGTTGCCTCCTGGCGATCTTGAATCGTACCGGAACACCGGACGCATGTGCCTTGGCATCGCTCGGGCGTGTGCATTTTTCCTTCGTCGAGGACCATCGAGGAGCATCCTTGATCATTTGGCGAAAACCACGCACGAAGCCGAAAAGAACACAGGGAATGGACGTCCGAGCGATGGCAGGGTGCGCGGCGCCAAGGCGGGAGCCACGGTTTGAGAAGGTGCCGCCATCGATCCGTGAAGCTCTCACAAATTTTGCAGGCGAATGTGCGCGGCGCCAAAGGCGAGAGCCACATGTTGAGTTCCACCCGCCCTCCGTCCGCGAAGTTCTTGCAATTTGTTCAGACGAGTGTGTGCGGCTTTCAGGCGAAAGCCACATTCTGAAAACCACCCGCCCTTACTTCCGTAAAGCAAGTTTTAGGTGCTCAGGCGAGAGTCACAGTTTGAAAAACACCCACCCGCACCACATGACGAGGAAGTCTCATGCGAAACGCTCGTTCTGCTCGTTCTGCCCTACCGGCACGTCTCGGGGCGCGACAGGGAGGAGTGATGTATGAGGAAAAGGATGGAGGAGGAGGAGGAGGAGGAGGAGGAAAGGTGGGAGGACGGGAGGAGTGAGAACGAAGGGGGAGGGGGAAGAGGGAGGTGAGAGGGGGGAGAGGGAGGGAAAAAAGGGTTTGTCGAGCACAACTAGGACCGGTCAGCTCTATGCTGTCGGACAGCCTGGCGCGCGCCCCACGCACGCTGGGCGCGAGCCTCCTCCTTGCGTGAAGGGGCCCACCACGTTCGCCTCCCCCTGGGTGCCCCTGGATAGGGAAGGTTCAAGGCTGAATCCGAAGCTCTGTTGGGCGACCCACGCGGACCTCTTCAGGTGTCTCCGTCGCTGTGCCTCAGCTCGGTTCTTACGGATTCGATCCAGCTCTGCCTCGGTCAGGGAGGGAGGGGGAGGGCCAGAGGAGGCGAAGGGTAGCAGGGAGGGCCAAGGCGAGACTCGAGGTCTGGAGCGTCGATACAGACGGCCTTCTGGGTGGGCGCTGGGGGGACGGGGTCGGCCAGGAAGCCAGGTCAGCGGGCCCGCGGGAAGGGCTATGTCCTGGGCTCATTACAACAAGACTTCGAGATTACCCCCCACGCCTGCCTCCGCCCATCCTTCCCCCATCCCATTTGCTCCGATGCCAAGCGGCGCTCGACGGTCGCGCTTGGCGCGCGGCCTGATTCCCCGCCTCTCCCTTCGCTTCCTCGTCCGCCTCCTCCTTCCCTTCCTCCCCTCTCCTCCTCTCCCTTCCTCCCCGTCCTCCTCCTCCCCCTCCCCCCGCACCCCCTGATTGTCCACATCCCCCGCCCCCCTCCACGACCATCCCCCATGAATACTGCTCTCCTCTCTCTCCCCTCTTACTGGAGCGGGGCGCAGCCTCTTCCGCACACGCGGTTCTTTCTCCTGCGCGTAGGATGTGTACGCAACGTGCGCTTCGGTCGTGCTGCTCGATGGTGGCGTGCTGCGGTGGCTTTTCCAAAGCGTGCTCCCGCCGCAGCGTTGACCGCATTCCAGGATCGGCGCGCTGCTCCCAGCGTTCAAACTGGCCTTCTCGCCCGAGCGCAGGCCCCACTTCCGGATCCGAGCTTCTTCCTCGTCGCCGTCGTCCCCTTTCCTTCCCCTTCTCCGCCTCCCTCGGGCCCTTCTCCTCATCCTCCTTCTCCTCCTCCTCCTTATCCTCCTTCTCCTCATGCTGCTGCTGCTGCTGCTCCTCCTCCTTCTCCTCCGCCGCCTCCTCCTTCCTCCTACGTACTTATCCTGTTCCCTCTGCTCATCCTTCTTCTCATCCCACGTCATACCGCCCCCCCAGTGAGCACGATGGCGTCATTTGGGGGTCCCACGTCCGCTAGGAAACCCGTCGGCGGATAGAGACAAAATCAGCGCAACGCAATGGGAAGGGATGGGCGGCAGGGGCAGCCTCCTCCTCCTCCTCCTCCTCCTCCTCCTCCTCCTCCTCCTCCTCCTCCTCCTCCTCCTCCTCCTCCTCCTACTCATCATCATCCTCCTCCTTCTCGTTCCCCCCCCTCCCCACACCCTCCCCACACCCACCCCCTCCTCCCTCCTCCCCCTCCCCTCCCTCTCCCTCCCCGACCTCCTTGCGGTGCAAGCAAGCACTGGGGAGGCGTCGCAAAGGGCGCAGAGGGCGTTTTCTTGTCCGACGCCTTCTGGG